AAGCTTCAACACATTCTAAATATTGACAAACAAACATGATATATGAGATCACAAACATATACAGGTCTGCAACTACATATATACATGATATAAATATGTATATATATGGCACCTAAGAAGTCACAAACTTGATGACACAATAGTGGAATTGACAATAATAAAGTGGAAACTTCCTCTATTTTTTAAAAAGGAGAAATTTGCAAGAAAAAAAACGTCAACACTAGATAAGTCTAAGGTTGAAGATGTTACCACTGCATGTCCTGTTCCAACCTGTGGAGGGGCTGCATACTGAATATTTGGGGTTGGAATTCCAGGATGAGAAATTCCAATGGCAGGCAAGGAAGAATGAATTTGAGACTCTGAATGACTTTGCTGGTCATCAGATTCACTATTATCTGCAAAAGCAATATTTCAAAGTAGATAAGAATGCGCTCAAGAAATGGTTGTACTACTCAAGTGAAGAAAGGAAAAAACAAAAACCATGATGCCACTTCACTAAAGGAAAACAAAAGCCAAAATCAATAAATCAATAAATCAATAAATCAATAAAATAACAAAGAATTAAAGCTTTGAAGTTCAGTGCTATAAAACCATAAATATGAGGGAAAAGTGTAATGAATCCTACATCACCGCATTGATCATATGTAGCACAGGAGTAATATCAGAAGGATTTAACCAGAACATAATAAAACAGCATTACCAGACAACCTTAAAGCCGACTAAAATAACCAAGGAAATTATTTTTTTCACAAGGTAGAGGCTTCCTGAGGATCCACATTAAATGAAAGGGAAAACGGGCAATTAGTGAGATGGTAAATTATGTAAACCATAAATCAAAATCAGGCACGACCAAGGAAGTCAAGGGTTGGATCTGCCACGGATCTTGCTAAAACCAAATCAAGACTTCAACCTAAGCCCATGCTCGGTATTAGGTATGACAAAGGTAAACAGATGTTAATCTCCCTGCAAAAGTTATTGGGTTGTAGAACAATCCACCAACAGAAAAGGAAAGAACCCTTACTTAAACTAGTTTAATATAAATTCTACACCATTATATCAAAGAAGCAAAAGCACCAAACAAAAAGCGATTCAGTTTCTTGTCACATTAACTATCCCTGCTCAATTAAATACCAGAAACATAAGTCTTATCCATTTACAGAAACTCTGAAACCAACTGAATATTTAAAGTATTTTGGAAGGAAAGAAAATTACCAGAACGATCATGCACAGAAGAAGTCATGAGGATGTCTTATGTGGAGAGTCTAAAACAATATGTAGCTGCAAAACAAAAATCACCCAGATCAATGTCATACAAAAAACAACATGCTGCTAGAACAAAGTAAGAAACAAAAAGAAAACAGATCATAGGATGAATTTTTTTTTAAAGTTTTATTAAACACGAAAGTACATTTTAGGATGAAATTAGAATCGTTTAGTAACTAATATCTTAATAAAATAAAAAAGA